CTCGTTCCCCCGACGCCTTGGGGCCGCCGAAAAAAGCGGGGCACTGTATCCGCCTCCTGGAGGATGTCCATCTTTTCGGCGTCCCTCCGTTTTTCCACCCCCCCATGTACATATAGATCGAGCCACCTCATCTTCCCTATTTTCTACCGCCTCTTCCAGCTCCCTCGCATCGTCTCATCGCCTTCTCGACATCTCCTCCTCCTCCTCCTCCTCCTCCTCCTCCTTCCCCGCTGCCACCGGCTGCTGCCTGCATTCCGTCTGCTCCTGCAAGAGGCTCGTCAATGTTTCATGCCCCTCACACTCTCGCTTTTCACCTGCAAGCTCGTCGAGTTTCGCTCGCAGCAGCTCAACCTCCTCCTACGCGCCGCGTTACCAGCATGTGTCCTCCCACTACTGCTGCTCCCTGCTCCCTGCTCCCTGCTCCCTGCTCCCTGCTCCCTGCTCCCTGCTCCCTCCTCCATCTTGCCTCTCAGCATTGTACCCCTGTCCCTCCTCCCTCTTTCCTTCTGCATTTTTTTCTCTCCTCCTCTTCCTTCCTCCTCCTGCTCTGGACAAACCTTGAGCGCATCTCGCTCCCTTGCGACTTCATCGTTGGAGAATTTCCCACTGGAAGCCACATGAGGGTTTGTGGAGAGAGGGGAAATGAGAGGGGAGAGAAGGACAAGTAAGCTTGGAGGAGGAATTGAGGAAGGTGAAGATGGAGAATCGAGAAGTGAAGCAAGAAAGGAAAGCAAGAGGAGTACAGCGGAGAAAGTGAAGAGGAAGAGAGAGGAGGAGAACAGGGGAGGAGGAGGAGAGAGGAGGAGAACAGGGGAGGAGGAGGAGAGAGGAGGAGAACAGGGGAGGAGGAGGAGAGAGGAGGAGAACAGGGAAGGAGGAGGAGAGAGGAGGAGAACAGGGGAGGAGGAGGAGAGAGGAGGAGAACAGGGAAGGAGGAGGAGGAGAGAGGAGGAGTCACCGAGAAGGAGAGGGGGCAGCTCCCATGATGCGGAACAAACATTTGTTCAGCTTCGACTGAACTTGAGCGGCAAGAGAAGCGACATCGGAGTCGTAGAGCAGAAATTTCCACTCCACCTCCTCCCGTACAGGACGAGGAGGCGTCAGCACCGGCTCCCTCCTCCTTGCCGCCTGCAGCGCGTCCGACTTGCAGACTTGCACGATCAAATCTTCGAAGGTGTCCAGCCCGATCCTGGCCTGAGGAGGAGGTGAACGATCAGGAGGAGGATCAGGAGGGAAAAGGAGGCAAAGGGAGGGGGGAGCGAAGGGAGCGGAGGGGTCAGGTCGAGGTGCAACGTCAGGAATGTCAAAGAGGATGAAACGGAAGGAGGAAGGAGCAGGGAAGTAATGAAGGGAGGGAGTTACTAAATGATTCAGGAAAGCAAGGAAACGAGGAGGAGGGAGGGAGGAGGGAGGGAGGAGGGAGGGAGGAGGGAGGAGGAAGAGGAGGGGGGAGGGAGAAAGGGGAGGGAGGAGCGAGGAGGGAGGGAGGGAGGAGGGAGGGAGTAGAAAAGAGGAGGAAGAGAGAGGAGGAGGGAGGAGGGAAGAAGAAGGGCGATACAGACCTCTACAATGTTGACAACGTTGCGTTGTAACTCCTCATCTCCAAGGGAATCGAGACAGCCAGCCTGACAAATTATTAGTCAGAATTAGCTGCTGCTGCTGCTGCTGCTGCTTCTGCTGCTGCTGCTGCTGCTTCCTCTCCTTCTTGTGTATGCCCTTGACAAACTGAAATTCTTTCCCGTGCACCCCATCGCATTGCTCATGCTCTGAACTCCTGTAAACCCTCTGCTGATGCTGATATGTGTACCTTCCCTCCTCCTTCTACCCCTCTCCCCCTTTCTCCCTCCCCTTCTTCTCTCTTCCCCTCCTCCCTTCCTCGTCTTCTCCCTCCCCTTCTCCCCTCTTCCCCTCCCCCCCTCCCTTGGCTCTCGCACGTACCAGCAGTATGGCAGCAGCTCCTCTCAGGTGCAGTGAGATCGCTCCCCCGTCCGTGCTGCTCTTCACCGCGTTGCTGCCCATGAGCCCCACGAGCCACATCACCGTTGCCTATGGTTGCGTCCTCAGAGTCCGAGATGCTAGGGGAGGAGGTTGTAGAGATAGGGAAACGAGGATAAGAGTGGAGAAGGGAGGAGAAGAGAGAGGGGAGGAGGGAGAGATGGGGAGAAGGGGAGGGAGAGAGGGGAAGAGGGGTAGAAGGAGGAGGGGAGGCACACATCTCAGAGTAAGCAGAGGGTTTACAGGGGTTGTGAGCTTGAGCTATGCGATGGGGAGCGCGCGAAAGATTCTCAGTTTGTCAGGGGCATACACAGTAGGAGAGGAAGCAGCAGCAGCAGAGCAGAAGCAGAAGAGCAGCAG